CTGTTGCATTGTGGGAAACTGTGGTCAATGTCATGAGACAAAGTATATGTGAACTGCTGTATGGAAAGTGAAGTTGCTCTGTAAATCTTCACACAAATCACAATTAAAAACAAACAAACAAACAAACAAAAACCCCATTGCCATCATTTCTGACTCATAGTGACCATACAGGACAGAGTAGAACTGCTTCATAAGGTTTCCAAGGCTGTCAATCTTTACTGAAGCAAAGCCCAAACCAAATCCAATGTGGTAGAGTTGATTCCAATTCATGGTACCCCTAGAGGACAGAACAGAACTGCCCCATAGGGTTTCCAAGGCTGTAATCGTAACGGAAGCAGACTGCCACATCTTCCATGGAATGGCTTATGGGTTTGAACTGTCCACCTTTCAATTTGCAGCCACGTGCTTACCCACTGCACCACCAAGGCTCTATTTAGTCATTACTGATTATCAACTCCAACCTCACATAAGTACTAAGAGGCCAGGATAGGCACTACCATTTTGCTTATACTTCAATATCCACTGTGCCCAGAGTGCCTGGCACGTGGTAGATATGCTATAATTGTTTCTTTTCAAAACATGCTCCCTTCTCTGCTATTTCCTGCATTTACACCCTTACTAAACACTGCCCTGGTATACCTGGAGTCCTAACTAGGATTCTTGCATCTGTTTTTCCTTCTACCATTCCCCTTGCAAAACATGGTAGATTCCTCTTCCCAAATTGCTCAGTTCACGATACTCTTCTTCATTTAAATTCTATACTGACTCTTCAGTGCTTGAACAATTAAGTCCCAGTTTCCTCATCTCACACTCAAAGCCTTTGACAATCTTGCTTCCAAATACCTCTTCAAACGTTTCCCTGTCATCTAGCCTTCAAGAACTGTACTTCTCATAGTTGATCACACCTGCTCTGGACAGCTCCACACTGTGTGGCTCTTTCTTCTGCAAAGATGTCACTCTCCATTCTTCTACATCTAAATCCTATTTGGACTTCAAGATTAAATGTCAATGTTATTTCCAATCCTAAGTGAGAGTCATCTTTCAACCCTCTGAAATATAATACTTTATCTGTATTTTACTTGAGACAGTTATATTCATGTACCAATTCAATCTCCCTTCCCAGACTGCAAACTCTGTGAAGGGAAGACTCACATTGATTCCTTTACTGATTACTCGTGGAATCCCCCGCCGGTCTCAGTCAGAAAAAATTACATGAGTGAATAAGGTTAATGAGCAATAATCTAATCATTTTTGTTTTAAATATTCATTTAACTAGTTAGAGGAAGTCAAATTATGAACAAGGACACCCATAGCCTTCTGTTCTTCTTTGCAAATTACAACTAATATTTGCAATCTACCTTCCCTTAAACAATTTCCTCAGTAGCTTATTGTTTTAAAAGAGAACCTTTATCCTGAAGGTTTAATAAATATAATGAAATAATGACATTGATAATGATGGTTATAATAAAAACTGGAAAAAAAGAATCTTACTGGCTGGCTGTTAAGTAAGTTTCCAAAATGGGGGTGAAGGAGAATAGATGAAGGTGGAGGAGGCTCTGCATGGTACAAAGTTAAAGTGCTCACTGCTAACGAGAAGTTTGGAGGTTTGAGTCTGCAGAATCACCTTGGAGGCAAGGCCGGATGCCTGCCTTAGTGCCTAAGGCATTTGACTGCTAACCAGAAGGCTGGTGGTTCAAACCCACCAGCCACTCCTCGGAAGGAAGGTTGGGCAATCTACTACTGTAGTGATACTGCCTCGAAAACCCAAGGAGAGGTCGCTATGAGTTGGATCCAACTCAATGGCAGTGTGTTGCATTGCTTGTGTTGCTATAACAGAAAAACCACAAGTGGATGGCTTCAACAAACAGTAACTCCCACAGTTCAGGAGGCTAGAAGTCTGAATTCAGAGTCTAGGCTCTAGAGGAAGGCTTTCTCTCTCTGTTGGCTCCGGAGAAGGGTCCTCGTCTTCTTTCAACACCCGTGGACCTGACGTTCCGAGGAGATGTTCACGTGTCTTGCCATCAGTCTTCTCCTTGGTCTAGGAGTTTCTCAGTACAGGGACCTGAGGTCCAAAGGATGCGCTCCACTCTCAACTCTTCTTTCTTGAAGGTACTGTGGTCTCTCAATCTCTGCTCACTTGTTTAATCTCTTTTATATCTCAAAAGAGACTGACTCAAGATACAATCTAATCCTATAGATTATATCTTTCTTCTTTAATGACTGCCTCTAATCCTGACTCATTAACGTGACAGAAGTTAGGATTTACAACACATAAGATAATTATATCAGATTACAAAATGGAGGATAATTACATGATACTGAGACTCACTGCCTAGCCTATTTGACACATATTATTCAGGAGCACAATTCAATCCATACCATCTGGTGATTGTCTGAAAAATCAGCCATTAAAAAGCCTGTGGAGCATAGTTCCACTCTGCATACATGGGTCACTATGAGTCGGAATCAACTCCATGACAAGTGTTGGGAGGGCATCTCCTTTCACACTTCTATCATGTTAGGTGGCTGAGTGGGTTTCCATAATGGGATCCAAGCAAATAGCATTCCATCACAATCTGTGAGTGACAAACTCAAAACACATGATTGTGACTCCAGGATTGGAAAACTACTGTCTCCATGGCTGAATGGGGCTACATTAGTTCCTTTTGAAGCAGCCACATAGATGACTTCCTTGTAAAACTTCTGGTTAGTCCAAAGGCGAGCACTTCCCAGGACAGGAACATAGTGCGATGGCTGAATAAGAAAGGAAAGGGTGTGGAGATGGTCCCTGTAGCTGGTACAAGCAGATGCTTTTTCTTCCTAAGTATGAAAAACTGGGCTCAGGTGCATGGCCACATTTGTTCCTCAGACATCTGGTTTCCCATCGCTGTACATCCTGGTACAAGGATGACTGCTTCTATCAGCAACACATTGCAGCTTGTAGCACGAAGTCATATCCAATACCCTCATGCTTGCAGAACCATTATGAAATAAACAGAATCCATTCAGTGGATCTGAAGCACAAGAAAACGGAAAGTTGAAAGTAAATGACTCCTCTAAGATGCCGTTTTGGAGATAGGACTAGAGACAGAGCATTCTGTTTTCTGACCTGGTGATCTGGGGAGCCATGAAGGAAAAAGAGGTCTGCTGAAGTTGAAAGAGGAGGTCATCTGGTATCGTAAATCCGCTGTACACACATTTTCTCTAATTCTCAGTGTTTCCTAGGTTAAGGACTAGCAGTGGGAACCAATCAGTTCTGTTTGAAGCATGCCACACACTGACACAGAAACAAAGAAGCCTGGAAACGTTACGTTCTTGGGTTCTGGTAACAATAAAAGGCCTTGTCTAGTCAACTTTTGGAGTAATTTTTCCCAGGGGGATTATTATCATCGGGAGGGATGAAAGAGTAGCATTCTAGTGATAGGTTTTCAGTTTCTGAGCTAAAGACATGTCTCCTTAAGAGGCAGGGTTTGGGATGTAGTAAGAAGGGCAGATAAACACAAAGAGCATCCCGTTTTTCTCATGTCCTCTCTCTTAGCTTGAGAGAAAGTCTGAGTGCCATTTGGAGGATCAGCCTTCAAACTAAAACTTGACAATGTCTATCTTCAGAAAAGGAGACTCTCAATAAAGTAGGTACAGATTAAATGCTCAAGAAAGTTGACATATTCTGCACATAGGGATGAGAGGCTTGGAAAATCGAAAGCATCAATAATTCACAGAAAATTGGACTCATGCATTATGTGGCATTGGTGCTTCATTAGAGCATGGTGCTTTGGATTTCTGGCTCAAGCATTTATTGAAAATTAAGTTTAGAATTTCCAGCATTTAGCTATCCATAACCAAAACCCAAACCAAACTCACTGCCATTGAGTTGATTCCAACTCATAGTGATCCCCATTGGGTTTCCAAAGCTGTAAATCTTTATGGAAGCAGACTGTCTCATCTTTCTTCCACGGAGCGGCTGGTGGGTTTGAACCACTGACCTTTTGGTTAGCAGCCCAATGCCATAACCACTGCACCACCAGAGCTCCTTTTGAACTCTCCAGGCAACTGTAAAGAAACTGGGTTCTCCAGGCCAGAACTGATGAACCCTAGAAGCTATAAGCTTGGGGACAAGCTAATAGTAAGTTTTCAGTACATTTTTTGTTCTGAAGTTTCTTCTTGAGATCTCTAGTTCTGCAGAACCAGAAAAAGAAAACTGCAAACACACTGGCACCAGAGAGATTGAAAACTTGACCCAAGAGAGTACTTGCTGACAACTGAAATCACGAAGCCATTAGTTACCATGCTCCATCGCTTTCATGGGAAACCAGAACAGGATGAGGGAGTGGACCAAGGCGTTGATGCAGTGACCCCAGAAAACCTATGGGAAAACAAACCAAAGGAGTCAGGAGCTGCCCACAGTGCTTGACCTCTGAGGAACTCTCTACAAACGCCTCATTGTGAAGGATGCTGGCAGGGTGTTGCTTCGCCCCAGAAGGAGCGTATTATTCTTGGAGTTAAAAAACCCCCAACTATTTCTCATTTTTTTACTTACAAATGACTGGATGATCTCCAGATCATATTCCTTCAGTAGAAAGGCCCAACTTTATATATACACATATACATAGACAAACACACAGTCTGTCCACCTTTGAAAAATGAGTTCAACCTGGGCAGTTTTGAAAGCATTAAAAGCAGTTTACATGCAAATTCTTACACAACGTTCTCACTTACTTTTCTTTTACTCAAGTGCCTTCCCGTTCCACTTTTTCATTAATTTTTAGCATTTTGATTGAGATTGTGCAAGCCTTAACATTCTTTCTTTTAATGATTGGAAGGCCAAATAAAAGAATACCACGTTTAGTTGATTCTGAACTAGCATTTCATGAACGTATTTCAATCATCTCTTAAAGCACTGAGAGGACAGAACTATTAAAGCTAGATTAAATTTAATTAAAAATCCTCATAGTGTTCTGGGTCTTGTCATATAGTTTGATGTTTAGGGTGGGGGTACCACAGAAAATAATGACAAACACTATTAGAAGAGAATGAGGTTTTTTTCCATGTCAAACGTTCATAGTTCCCTACCCTTCCCTGAACTCTTCACAAACAATGTCTCCAAAATGCCTGCAGATAAGTCTCAGTGCAGTCTCAGCTCTGGTACCCTTCATATAAGTCCATTCTCTACTTCTCACCTCACGTGGCCTTTGATTTCAAACTCTACAGAAAACAGACTCCATTCATGCAAACAATAAAGAACAAACAGGTCATAACTTCCCATTGACAGGACTGTAGTCAACAGTGGCTGATCAATGAGTCACCCATGTCTCATTGTGTGTGGAAGACAGCAGTAGGATCAATAGGGCCCCCTGCATTTTTTCCAGTCTCAGGTAAGCTATTATCATACTTTCCCAAGAATAAGGTGGCTCTGAAGGAAGACTAATGAGCAGTATCCAGCCCTAAGACAGCTTTCAGAGACTGTTGTCTTACTGAGAACTGGGGAGGGGCATCCCCATGTCATCCTCACTAAGGTCTGAGGAGCTACCCAAGCAAATCATGAACACAACCAGCATGTGGTATTTGAACTGAAGTGGGCAACCAAGCCCCCGATTTCTTTTCTGCACAAACACCTAAGATAGACACGTGGCCAGGCTAAATGTGTTCACATCTTGCATGCTCCGACCATCTAATGTGTTCACATCTCGCATCCTCTGACCATGTAATGTGTTCATTCACATCTTGCATCCTCTGACCATCTAATGTGTTCACATCTTGCGTCCTCTGACCATCTAATGTGTTCACATCTTACATCCTCTGACCATCTAATGTGTTCACATCTCGCATCCTCTGACCATGTAATGTGTTCATTCACATCTTGCATCCTCTGACCATCTAATGTGTTCACATCTTGTGTCCTCTGACCATCTAATGTGTTCACATCTTACATCCTCTGACCATCTAATGTGTTCACATCGTGCATCCTCTGACCATCTAGCACACATTTTCCCTTTTGGCCTGGTGGCCCTCAACCCTCTTCCACTCTTAGTCATGACTGCCAGGCTGGAAGACATATACTCTTTGCCTTAAGACTAAAGAATCCATTTAACACCTATTCCAGCTTTCCAGTGTCCTCTCAGGATTATCTTTTTTTTTTTTTTTTTTTTCCTGTCTCAATGACTTATCTTTTCTTATTCTACAAACTGAAGAAAAATATTCAAGTCTGACTTGATCTCTAGGTTCATATCTAGCCAATTTCACTCACTGGCTACATAAATCTTTCAGATGAAAAAATCAAGCAGCCATGGCTGGAGGGCTCTGTGGGGCTCACTCCTGGCTCATGGAGACATGGGGCTTTATAAGTCTGAAGGGGCTCCCTTATGGCTGATCCTATAGGAAACGAGGCCATCGGTGTGGCTGCCCACACAAATCCCAGAGGAAATGAGGAGCTGAGGACAGATGTCAACTAATTGCAATTGCAAGACACACTACCTACAACAAGAAACCTGCTTTCCAAACTGACATCTCTGGGTCTGAGCCTGCTGTATTGAATAAGAAGCGCTGTGGCCTCCACACTTTTCTCTAAAGCTTCAGACCTTCCCAGGCAGATCCCTAGAGCTGAAAGACCAAAGACCAACTGTCTCCTATTCGAGGAGACAATTCTACAGCAAAGTTGCATTTACCTTGGTGTTGAAGCCTTCGGCATTCTGGGTAATTTTGTAGAGCTGTGGAAACCTGAGCATGCTCTCCTGAGTACAAGATCTCTCGAAGATTCCCAGAGTGAAGGGCGGCAATGCTGTGAAAATCTACACGGAGAACAATGACCCGTTAGAAGAGGCCTTTTTGATTCACACAGTGTGTTTCAGTTGTATGGAATGATGACTTAATTTCTAGTCATGTCCAAACCTGAGACTCCATGATTCACAATTCTCCAGACACCCTCCAAACAAAGGAAATAAACGAAAGGCCCATTTTTAACTGTTATGTAATCAGCATAAAATGAATACATTGAATGCAAAGGACAGCATAATAAATATTTGCTCAGCCACCAAATCTTGCTAAATTAACAAATACCTCCCTTTGTAAAACTAGCAATGATTTACAGTCATACCTCAGTGAGTTTGTGAAATGATGACCTGTTTTCTGTTAGTGCTAGCTGAGGCACGATTTTGCCACTTCCTGTATTGATGTTATACTCAAGTTTCAGGAAGCACAATGTACTTCATTTGTTCATTCAATGGACATTTATTACAATGAAATTCTGGGACAGATATAGGACATGCACCAGGTATTTAGAAATTCAAAAAAGAGGAAGGAAAGAGTGGAGGGAGGAAGGGAGGGAAGGAACATGGTCTTTCATATCCAGGAACTCAGTCTATTGCGAAAGTGGGGATGGGGGTAGTGGGGGCTGGCATATAAATATATACCAACAGTGTTTTGCTAAGTTACTAATGAGGAACGGAATGTAGAAGGACAAGGGAGACCCAGGACATAAATGGACAGACGCACACCCATGTCCATCACAGCACTGTTTACAAGAGCAAAGAGATGGAAACGTGCTTGGTGCCCATCAACAGATGAACAGAGAATCAAACTATGGTCCATACACACAATGGAATACTATGCACCATTTAAAGAATAATGAAGAATCTGTGAATCCCCTCATATAGTGGATGACCCTGTTCGACATTATGCTGAGTGAAATAAGTCAATCACAGAAAGACAAATATCGTATGAGACTATTATCATAAAAAGTCAAGGAAAGGTTTGCACAGGGAAGGAAGTATCTTTGTTGGTCACTAGAGATGGGAGGGGAGGGGAGAGAAAAAACAGGTGTTGATTTTGGTGAAGAGAAAGGTAATATAATGAATGTGTGTGATCAGCACAATATCACCTAGGAAAGGCACCCAGGTGGTACACACAAGAAAGGTAAATACTATTACACACACGATACTGCATTCTCAGTAACAGCAAACACTAATCTATGGGTGGACACATAGGTAGACAGGCAAGAAGATCAGGTATGGATGGGCAAATGAGAATACATCCATGGCCATCTATAGGTCTGGAAGGAGATATTCCTACATATGTATTTGTATGTGCTATAAAAATGTCAATATGCTGTATAGAGCTAACAGGGGACAGAGTTAGGATAACTTCTTAGCCACAACTAAGCACTCAAGGAGTGAGTTGCTGGGCCTGCGGGCTAGATATCAGGGTCGCAGGGGATACTAAATTCAATTGGCACAACATAGTACACCAAAACATTGTTCTACATCCTACTTTGGTAGGCAACTGGGATCATAAAAGCTTGTGAGCAGCCATCTAAGATGCAACTCTTGGTCTCTCCTTGTCTGGAGCAAAGAAGAGTGAAGAAAATTAAAGACACATGGAAACAATTACTTTTCAAAGGACTAATGGACCATGAGAGCCTCAGCCTATATGACCCTGAGACCAGAAGAACTAGATGGTACTCAGCTAGCATTGCCAACTACTTGGAAAGGCATCAAATTGGAGATCCTGGATAGAGTGGGAGAAAAATGTGGAACAAAATTAAAAAACATTAAAAAAAAAAAAAAAAGGAGAGACCAGTGAGATATAGACTGGTGAAACTCCCAAGACTATGGCCCTGAGTTACCTTTCAGTCCCAGAATTCAACTCCTTGCTGTGGCTAACTTTCAGCCAAACAACAGACAGGCCTACGAGCTGACCAACTACATCAGAGACATGCACTCCTTAGAAGAATCGACCGTGGGAGAGCAGAAGGGTAGCATTTGCACAAGGAGAGAGGTAAGGAGGCAGGGATGTATAGGCAAGAAGGACCCAGGGAAGGGGTAACCACAGGGAAGAAATGGGAAGAGAGCTGTTACATTGTGGGGATTGCAATCAATGTCACAAAACAAAATGTGTACAAACTGGTGAATGCAAAACCAATCTGCCTTGTAAAATTTCACCCAAATCACAATACGAAGTGGAAACAATCAAACAACACACGACTCTGACATATTGGTTGGAAAAAAAAAAAAAAAACACTCTAACATGTTGTTTTTATGTGTCGTCAAGTCGGACCCAAGTCATAGCAACCCCTCATTGGGTTTCTGAGGTGGTATCACTATGGAAGTAGATTGCCCCATCTTCCTTCTGAGGAGTGGCTGGTGGATTTGAACCACCAGCCTTCTGGTTAGCAGTCAAGTGCTTTAGGCACTACGCTACCAGAGCTCCTCTGGTATATCAACCAAAATAAGAAAGGATGGATTCTTAGACCACAGAGTACGTGACCTACAAGGTAGTGCACCCATAGCATTTGGCATGATGATCAGGGATGACAGTTCAGGGGTGCAGAAGGAATCACCCCCACGTAGGAAGTACCCCTCAGAGCCTCAAGCAAGAATGAGCATGGGGTATGGGAGAGACCTCTAAGAGTACAGGACGGCTAGGTGGGGATGTGGTGGGGGACAGGGCTGGAGGGGAGACCAAAGTTCTTGAACCACATGGTGCCTACCTTCTAAGCCTTTTCCTTTTCCCTTGAGGGGTGTGACATGATCACACTGTGTTCTAAGAAGAGGAAGCCAGAGGCTAAAGAAGAGGTTTGGGATACATGTGTCATTTCAATACGGGATATACTGGGACCCCATGGGTCATTCACTTTGGTTCTGGTGATGGTTCACCGAGACCGTGTGGCATCAACCAAAACCACCTCCCCAAATCCAGCCAGCTCCCCGCCAGCCCGTGGGAATGGGCAGCGTGGCTCAGAGAGAATCCTGACATCACAGCCTCGCCTCAGTTATTTGGAGACGGAACATATGAGCCAGAGAAAGCAGCCTTTGACGCGGCTGTCAGAGTAGAGCAATCGGAGACGTGTTGAGTAAAACCAATAAAACCCTCAAGCTTTGCACTCACCCTAAGGCAGAATGGAAAACAGGCTTGGAGTTCAAGGTCTTACAAAGGTTTCAAGGAAAAAGTTGTCAGAGTGTTGCACTTGCTACATTACAACAACAAAATGAAGGGCTCTGGAAAATGGAGGAAGGAACATCTAAGAAGCTCAGTACACCTTACTATATATATGTTATTGTACATGAACACATACATGGAACACGATGCATTCTGTGTCTACTTCCGGTTTTACTTTTTGTTTTCCTTTTGTAACTTGGCCTTCTCTTTCCACCTACTTCAATTTCTATTCCTCACTTTACCACAACGATGACAACCTAGCAGGCTGCCTTTGAGTCACTTCAGCCTCCTGGTGACCCCAGGTGTGTCAGAGTAGACCTGGGCTCCATAGGGTTATTATTTTCATTTTTTTGTGAAAATTTTTTACAGAGCAAATTGGTTTTCCATTCAACACTCCATACACGTTCTGTGACGTCTCTCCGAATCACTGTAACAGCATTCCTCCCATTACCCCCCAAGCCCACTCCTTCCCTTTACTCTTCCTTCCCATCCCCTCCCACTTTCCTAGCTCCTTCCCTGAGCAAATGCTGTCCTTTTGATGTCTTAGGCTTAATTGTTATAATGAGTGCATACCCTCCTGATGTTACTGTTCACCTTACAGGTCTGTTGTTTGGCTGCCAGTTGAGTCATGGGGGTTAAGTGCAGTTCCCAGCTTGAAGGATGCCTATGGGCCAAAGTCTCAAGGGTTCTACCAGACCTCGTCAGACCAGTAAACCTGGTCTTTTTTATGATTTTGAGTTTTGCTCCACATATTCTCCTATTTTATCTGGGACTTCTTATTGTGATCCCTTTCAGAGCAGAAAAACTAGATGGTTGGCAGGTACCATCTAGTTCTGGTCTCAGAGTCATGGAGGTTGGGGTTCGTTCATGTGGTCCATTAATCCTTTGGACTAATTGTTTCCTGCATCTTTGACTTTCTTCACTCTTCTTTGCTCCTGATGGTGAGAGACCAACAGTTGCCCCTTATATGGCTGACATCACTCACTACTCACCAAAGAAGGATATAGAACACTGTCTCGTGGACTATGTAATGCCAATTGACCTTAGTGTCCCCCGAAGTTATGATCCTGAGGCTCCACACCCAAAGTATGATCAGCTGGCTTTTCTTATGAGGTGCCTCTGGGTTGACTCTAACCTTCAATCATTCCATTTATGGTTGAATGTGTTAATTGTTCATACCACCCAAGAAGTCCAAAAATCTCACATGCCTCATCATATTTTCACTCTTCCTACAGCATCCTAGCAGGCCTGGTGGCACAGTGTTTAAAGTACTTGGCTGCTAACCAAAAGGTCACCAGTTCCAACCACCAGTCACCCTGTAGAGGAAGATGTGGCATTCTGCATCTGTAAGGCTGCAGCCTTAGAAACCCTACTCTGTCCTATAGGATCATTGTGAGTCAGAATGCACTTCATAGCAGAGGGTTTGGTTTGGTTATAGTATCCTACACACAAGTATGTAGATGGTTTGGGGATCATAATTTTTTTTTTTTTTTAAAGGAGTATTATACACATTTTTTTTCTCACAAACAGTACATCATAGCAATCCATCCAAGTCATTTGAGTTCAACATTAATGCAGTCTTTTTAAGGCTCACGTAACAATTCATAGTACGGACACACCATTTTTTTTTTCAACCATTCACCTACTCACAGGCATTTATTTTGTTTCCTATTCTTTGTTATCACAAAATCATGTAATAAACACCTACAATATACTGTAATATATACTTGTTCTTTTAGTTTTATGGGAAGCATTCCCAGAAGTAGGATTGCTAGGTAAAAGAAAACTACACATGCCCAAGTACTTTCGAAAAAGGTTCCAATCATTATTTACTTTTACTGGCAAAGGACAACAG